AAGTGCCGAAGCAAAACCAAATATACAGTACCTTTTCTCACTGATGAGTGTCTGGCTACATTTCCTTCAGTAAAGAAAATTAACTAATTACTAGCTCAAATTTTACAACCACCCTAGGCTTCTTGAGCAGGTTTTTTGACAAGTCAGTGGAGGAAAAAATTATAATGAAACATTCTCAAAAAGTTACTTGTTGGACTGAAGATGGAATACAAGTTCTGGTAAGGAAGCTGGATTATTTCTTTCAACTGATAAAACTCAAGGTGTCAAGTGTCTTTTTAAGTTTCTCTTTAAGTAGGTTATTTCTGAGGGCCTTGCATTACATTTAGCAGTCAAAGAAATTCAGGAGATAAGGCACAAAAGCATGTCCATCCTTCAGTTCTAGTTCAAGAGCTAACCTCATTTAAATGCTGTTCAACTGGCCTAGAATAAAAGTATAAGGCTACTTTTTACGTTTAGTGACAAGAATTTTTTATGTCACCTGTCTGTTAAAATGTTTAATATCCAGAAGTCTATTACTTTAAGCTTACATGTGTGAAAAGAATAAATTAGGAAAAGAATATTAGGATGAAGATATTCTTGTAGCATGAAAAGGAACAGGCTGAATAAACATAGAGGTGATTATGAAAGAGGCTGCTGAGTTCTTTCATGCCCTACTGATTTAATGTTATCTGTTTATAAATACTCTGTATCCAAAGATTACTTTGTAGTGGTAATAATCAGTTCTTCCCTGAGAAGGGGTACATTAGCACAGCCACTTACTCTCTAAGTTTCACAGAGGGTAATTGCCCAATATCAGTGAACAGCTCGTGTCAATGCCAAAAATGAAAGCAGTCCTGCTGCTCAGTTTAAAACCTAAGGAGAAGCAGCAAGGAACAAGCTGTCTATGACTGAAGGAAGTTTCATATAGATGTAACTGTACCAGCACCATCAGACAGTTTAGCATGGACAATGTGAGTTATAACATAGTCAGAAAATCCTTTGCTTTATAGCTTTTCTTCAAATACAGTGGCACAGAAGCGTCTCCAATTCTACATCCTCATACAGGTGGAAGCCCACAGAGGTGTCCTCTCACAAAGGCACACCTGCTGACAGATGCTGATTAAAAAGGATTTAGCCATTTGGGCATCATCCTTCAAAGGAAGGGAAGCATTAAACATTCTTTAGGTCACACTGCCTTGTTTTTTTCTAGATTTGTCTTCACAAGCTAATAATGCTATGTGACGAAAGTACCTTTGTTGTATACAGTAATGTTTATGTAACAAATAAAAGCTGGAAGGTGAAGGGAGAAAAGAAATCTCAAGCGTTAACTGACTGGATAAACTGAGCTGGTATTGAAAACTTTAAACCGAAAATTTACATCATATTATGCTGGTAATTTATTTAATATCTTCTTACTGAGCAAAAAGATGCTGTCAGTTTCCAGACTGAGTTGAAAGATGTGCCTGTTTCTCACAGGTGGTAAGTGCAAACATACTATCTTGGCAGATCTGTCCCTGGAAGACTACTTTTTTTTTTAATTTTTACATTTCTTTTTGCTAAAGGCTTTACAGCTAACACATCCATCTGTCCATTGAAAATATTTCCATTAATACTGGGACAGTTACAAAGAAGCAAAAGCTGAGACATTTCATAGACTAAAGATGGACACACGAAATATAGATTAAGTAATCTGTATGCCCATGAACAAAGGTCTGGAGTCTGAAAGGTAAGTCTGTGGAGGAGCATGTAAAACAACCACCAGAGCTTGTATCCAGGAGCTCTGAAGTTATGTAAGTCATGGTATTAAACTACCCAGTTTTGCTCATACATGAGAATCTCTAGACAAATGCTACCTCAAAAAATAAAAACCAAATAAGTCAAATGCTGTTAAACTCACTCAGGTTGTTGGAAAAAACCACAAAGTGTGTATGTAATAAGGACCATATTTTGTCCCATAAAATGTTATTTTTGTTTCCTCCTGAAATGTACCAGTGTCTGTATTGCACAGATCCTGTCTTTCTAGGGAAATTCTCATGCCATATGCTAGAAAGGTATGGAATTTTGCGAGTAATTTTTTCAGTAGCATTTTCTTTTGCTGTTTTTAATATGTCAAATTCTTGCACTTGTTCTTTTGCAGAGATCTGTAGGCAAACATAACACAGTTCAAAGGCACTTAAACTGTTCAGTTTCCAGGAGATCTGGCAAGTGATGGTATCTTTTTATACACTAAGAAGATATTAAACAAATTACCAGCATAATTAGGTGTAGATTGTGGGTTTAATCCTTTCAAGTGAAACACTAACTAAGTTTATCCAGTCAATTAACACTTAAGATTTCTTTTCTCCCTTCAAGTGGATAATCATGCTAATCTTATGATATGGTTGTCTGTGACAAGAAATAAATTAAAATCAGATCAGTTCAAGTGGATTACAGATGGTTTAAGATTTCTGGATTGAAAATAATGAAATAATTCCATATTTTCAGTTCCTTGGACAAATCTCTAGTTTGCACCATCTTAGATCACCTTATAAATGCCTCTTTAGACACTCTATAATTACAGGGGACCAACATTCCTGCAAGGGATAATGTAGGATAACTTTCTAGTATTAAACCAAAAATCATTATGGAACTATCTATTAACTACAAAAAACCTTCTGCATCTTCCAACACTATGCAGAGAGCAGGATTGTCTAGATTTTACTCTTAAAAAATCTCCATGTTCATATCAATATGATGTAAGGAAAAAAATGCAATATTTAAGCATAAAACATTCTCAACTATATATAGTTAATACTTGCTATGTTACTACTCCATGACTAAGACAACGATGAAAAAAGTGAACTCTTCCTGTGTAGGAAATAAACTCTCTTGCTCTTCCCTCCAGGGGCAGATAATCAGGCTGGAAAAGTCCCCCTGCTTTTCAGTGGAGGGCTGTGCGTGGTGCAGAGGGGAGGCCTGCTCAGTGCCCTTTTGTGCCTCTGTGCCGAGGGAACATTTCAGCCCAGACCCTCCCCAGGGAGCAAATGTCAGCAAGGATTTCCATCTGCATTACTTGGCAAGACAAGGCAAGATTTTTTTTATTCCAGTGATGACTCAGGCATAACTTATGCACTTGGAAATTAAATGTTTTTGGTTTACTGGTTACCCAGAATGAGAGCACGCCAGGGCTGCAGAAACACTTGAAGTTTGTACCTACATGTGCCAAGTACAAAAGTGTCTAGTGCTGAAGGAGCAGGGAAATACCTTAAGATTTTTCACTTGGATGTGCAAAATTAGTGAATGTTTTCAGAACATGGCAGTGTTACTGTACTTGGACTGCTGTTCTCTGATCTGTGGCATGAGGACAACACAAACATCTGCTGAAGCATTTATGATGGATTATAGGGTCTTAGAGTAATGGGAATAGCATGTAAATGTATCCAATGAAACTATTCATTATCAAAATTAGCTAGATCAGATTGAGTATGATCTATGACCACATACTAAGTAAGAAAAATACAAATGCATGTTGAATAAACAGTGTCATCATAATATACAGGAAAAATAGTATCCTGTCAAATGTATCTATACAGGATTCATCTAAACCAAGGATCAATGGGCAATTTTAATTTTAAAGTTCCCTTCGATTTTCCTTCCCTTTGAAAGCTTTTTCAGTTCTGTTAATGTGTTTTGATTGAGTAAATATGCACAGGGTTTTTCAGATAGTGTAGTATGAATTACAGCCAGAATTAATTGCAGCCTTTCCCATGCTTTCAATTCAGTCTGTATATAACCTGACTTGATTTTTCAGCACCCTCTAGAGTAAGCAGAAAGATCCAGCAGCCTTTCCTTTCATCTTAGATAGCTGAAGTAATGCCCTTCTCTTTTTGCCATGTTGCTGGACTTCCTGATACTCTGAACCTTCAAACATATTATGGAAGTGGTAAATTCTTAAATAAGTGTTCATATTATAAAAACAGTCCTTAAGATACTTTCACATGAAAACCTTACTTCAGAAAAATAAGCTAATCAAACCAGTTGTTACCTGGCAACCAGGGATAATATTCCTACTGTAAATTTACGAGCCTGTGGCTGATGCTTTACCTACTGTAACTGCAAAGGGAGTCTCTGGAAGAAGTGCTATGAGGTTTAGCCAGTTCTGTATTCATCAGTCTTACTAGAAAATCAAGTAACTGTTTAAATGAGGGTGGCCCAGCTCCTTTGCCTCTCTCACAGATCATCCACAGTGCTCTCTACTGTCTGTCTTTCTTTTCAACTTTTTGTCCTTTTACACTGGTGCTTTGTATCTTGGATCCTTGAGCTGTTCCTCATTCCTCTGTCAGTACTGACACTCCTTTCTGCAATTTTACTTTTATTATTTAGCATAATTCTCACAATTTAATGAGGTTTCCAGTACTGAGCTAAATGCATGCAGCTCAAGCCTAGCCCTTGGGTCACAGACAGCTAAGTCCATAGGAGGTAAATAACAAATGATGAGAGCCCACTGGTGTTTCCCCCCTGTCCCCAGCCTGCTCTGATCTTACACTTGAGGCCAGCACAGCCTCAGTCCCCAGCTGAGCTCTCCCTGGTGGGTGATGCCAGTGCTGTGAAAGGCAACACCGTCTCACAGAGCTGCCTGTGCTCATCAAAGTGTAATTCCAGTGCCCTCCCAGAGCATGTCTGGGCTGCTTTGTTGGTGTTGCTAAAACACCAGAATTCAGCTGCAGCAAGGAACCAACAAACAGCACTACACCAATAACTCCTAGTGGGAAGTTTATGGAAGTTAGTTTTCTGTCTCTATAACAGAAAAAAATAAAAAAAAATTAAAATTTGATTTTTTTAAAGAGTGGTAATAAACTGCCAAGAAAAGGGTGCCATTTCCCTCTCAGTTTACACTGGTAATTCATTATTCATCAGGAAGAATTAGAGAGCTTAACTGAAGGTCTCTGAGAGAAGTCTCAAACAGTATACCATAGAAATTAGGTAGCTAAGATGCTGTTGATTCTTTAAAAGTGAAATATAATTCAGTCTAATAAAAAGCAGCTTGACAGATTTTGTTTTTCAAAGCATGTTAATTTGTTTGCAAGAACAATATAAAAAGAATTGAACATGGGCTCGAAGTCTGGAAGCTACACTTGATACGGAGCTTTTTATTATTATAATTATTAATGTCATAATATGTTTGCTGCTGCAACCAAAAACTTTGTTAAACAGGTTGGTGATGGAGGAAGATTAGTTCCAGTGCCCAGCCTCAGTGAAGCTGACAGATACCAACCTCTGAGCCTTGTGATTAAAAAAAGAAAATGCTCACTTTCAAAAAAATCTAAATTTGCTTCAACACCTTTCACATTAAAAGACATTCTTCAAGGGGAGAAGGAAATTTCTGCAGGTAAGATGTTTATCTTTCTTGAAAAATGGATATTTTCTAGTAAATACATAGTAAACATGGTTTAAACTGTGAAGGTAGTATGATGTTTCCTCAGTAAATGGTCAATAATATTTTTCTTGCTTTGTCATGTAATAATTTATTTTTTTTTAAAGTACAAATAAAATAGGTAAAAGAAAAAAAAAACTTTCTGGAAAAAGAGTGATGAAAGTAATTTATACTAAAAAGCCTTGATATTATCTGAAACTAGTATTAAACAAATTGACTTAAGCCTTGTTTTTTCACAAACCACAAATTCTTGACAGATGTACTGATGTATGTTGATCCATTGCTGCATAGAATTTGTTTAGAATTGTACCCCTTTCTCTGTATACTTGTTTTCAGGTGTGTAAGAATGGCCTCAGTTCTGCAGCTCTTCCATGCTGGCAGTCCCTGGTGCTGAACTGAGCTCTGCACAGGCAGAAGTATTTGAAAAGAGCTATTATATCTGACTGATGTAATTGGATTTTCATAGGACTTTTTCCATGTTTGCAACCTTTGTGGTGTATTTAAAGAGCTTAACTGTTTTTAAATTGCCTTTTCTATGCAGTAGAGTAAAATTTGAGGAGATTCTATGAGAATTATGAGGTGCAAAATTGAACTATACTGCCTATTTCTTCCTATACACACTTGGAAAAGTGTGTAATTCATGTCTATGTGCTCTGTTTTCTCAAAACAGTTTAATTCCTTTAATTTTTTTTAAGATGTCGATTCTGACAAAATTATTTATTATATTAATTGCACAACAAATGCACAAGTTGAAAACTCTACTGAGACAAACTAGTATGAGCACAGGAAGACAGAAATACCACTTGATCCCACAAGAGGGGATTTTAGGACACAAACATGATAAGAAAAATTTTAATCCTATGTCTTACATTCAGGCAAATTCAGCTGGCTTGTCCTGAATGAAAAAAATTCCAAAAAAATCTCATTTAAAAAGTCTGAGAAAAAGGTTGCAAAATCTCATTAAAAAGTCTCACAAAACCTTACTAGTCTTTTCTGTAAAGGTTAAATTTCATACGCAAAAATTATTGTCCTTTAACGTAAGCAAAGAGGTTTGTAATTGAATTTCCTTTTTTATGTGACAAAGACAAGCATTTCCAATCCTTTTGGAATTATGAAAACTATATGAAACTTTTTTTTGGTTAAAAAGAAACACAAAGAGGATTCAGAGTAGGTGACTTCATAGTGTCAGTTTATCCTAATATCTTCAAAGGATTAAAAACAAAAAAAGGAGTAAACCCCAGATTCTGGACATCTAATCCCTGTGTTCATTTTAAATTGGTAACCAATGCATTCTAGTATTTTTTCTGTTAGTGTAATGGAAATTCATTTGATATTATAAAGACATTTTTCTAGAGGTGCTTTGGTACCTGCCTTTTGATTCTACAATAATTGAATGCAAATTTTCAAGCAAGGTAGAATTAATCTGTTGTTTTCCTACAAAATAAACTGACATAGTCCCTGGGCAGAGTTAATGTTACTGGCATACCCATGTCTCATTCATGTATTGCAAAAATGATGGAAAATTAGGGTCTTTGTATGGCACCTAGAAAAAATTCAGAATTCCCTAATATTTTTTATATAGTGGCTTTCATTTTATTCCTAGTTTTTAATATTCTGTGTGGCCTCTACTGAGACATTTTGAGTTTCAGAGCCTCTGTCATTAAAGCCAGAACACACTACATGTGTAGTTTATATGTATCAGCATTGTGGTTACAGGTAGAAGTTCTTGAGGAGAATTATGATGAACACAGAAATTTGAAAATAGCTCTAGTCAAATGCAGGACTCCTGTGTACTCTTTCCATCAATCATCAGTAGTAACACCAACAAACATGTGCTCAGTGTAGCTCTGAATTTCATATCATTATGAATTTCAAATGATTATGCACATAGGAATGGTATAATTTATTCTTGCTATGTGAAAATACTGTGTTCAGACTTTTCATCACACAAAGGATATCTTCTTTTACTCAGGTGTCTCATCTTACCAGTTGCTCAACTATGAAGACAAATCAGATGTTTCACTTAATGGCAAAAGAGGAAATCAGATAATGAATGATGTTGGTTTTGATGTTGCTGGATCAGATTCTGTTGCCTTTAAAGCTTCGTTTGGCATAGTGACCAAACACGAAGTTGAAGTACCAACATTACTAAAAGAACTTATGACAAGGTTGTATTCTGTGTTTTGATTTCTGTTTCCATAATTCTGTTTCATAGAGTTAGGTTGAAAGTCTGAAGTGGTTAGGTTTTGATTCTTCTTAGTCACCATCTGATATTTTCAAGGGTATCAGGCTGGATCACTGGGATTAGACATATGACCTGTATATAATACATGCTGCACAATTTTTCTGAATTCTTTGAATTATGGTGCATGTCTGAGGAGAAAAAAAATAAAAAAAATAGCAGAGAGGAAGAGTCCATCCAAACTCCTGTCTTTGCTATAACATAGTATTGAAAATTTGAAATCTACTTTGAATAATATTACCCAACTTCAGGTTTCAGAAATAAGATTTCTTTGCCTTTGATGAACTTGAGAGACATATATATTGTTGCCATTGTAGGTACTTTGAGGTTTTATGAAGCTATTACACAGCCCTTTCTGCAAAAATCAAAATAGGTTTATCTGCTTGAATTTTTCATAACCTTCTGTGACTTTTCTTTAGATTCAGTTTTCATAACCTTCTGTGACTTTTCTTTAGATTCAGTCTCTTTTACCAGCATTCCTGTTGAATTGTGGACACTGAAAATGAACTTGGTGTTCCTGTGGTGCTAGCACAGATGTCAAACATGTTGTGGTTAATTCTAGGTGTAAATATTTTTTTTATATTTCAAAGATTGTCCCTTGGTAACAATGTCATCCCAGTGAATCCCAGCAGTGCTTCCCAGTAAATTTTTACTATGCATTATGCAACATTTGGCATTCGCAAATATATATTGATACCTTGTTGTTTTTTACCAAGAAGTGCATGCCATTTTGTATCTGCAACCTCTCCTTCCATATCTACCTTTTCCTACTTTATTTGTAACTTCCAAGCATTATCATTAATAACTGGGGCTGAGGAAAGAGTATCCAGGCTTCTGAAAAAAAGATTCAGTGTTATAGAAATGTCACTGTTTGTAGAAATTCTTCTACAAACACTTGTTTCATGATTGTTCAGTATTGTTTGTAAGTGACATAGGGTTTTTTTTCAGTTAATGGCACTAAAATCAGAGTCAGATGGACAGGCTTTGAATTTTCCAGGGTGTCACAGATATCCTCTCTAACATCTGTAAAATACTGTCTTTCCTTGAATGTTTTAGTTCTTCTGCTCCCAAACACTGAAAACCAGTATTAAGTTTCCAGATATCTCCTTGGTCGGTTGTTTTACTGCTATGAAACAGACATTATGGTGATTCATTTACTGATTTAAAGTTAGCTGCTTTGTAAACTGCTAATTATGTCTGAATTTCCTTCCTGCCTCTTGATTTTAGAAGAATAAACTTTGATCATTGTCTAGTCCATCAATCAAGAAAAAGTAGGATGGAAATTTTGTGTGTGGTCATGGAAAGTATTCGAACTACAAGGCAGTGCTCATTAACTGTCCATACTGGAATGCGTGGAGAGACAATGAGGGTAAATATGTTTGACAAAGTTCTGTAACACCAATGATCAAGCATAAAAAGCTAATTTTTTATAAATTTTATGGTTTGATTTAATTGTATTTTTATAATGTAAGCTCAGAAAAAATCTGAAGTAAATAAATATTGTACTGATATAAACTGGTTTAGAAGTTGGTCTTTGGTTAGCAATGCTTGTGTGACTGAGGGGTGGGAAATGCATGAAGGGATGGCCAGACAATGAGCCATTGCTTAGGGTAAAACCTTGTCAAAAATGTGGAATTACTACTTCTTAGTTTGACTTTCTAATAAACATAAAACCTTTCTTTCATTATTATGGTCATCTTCTCTAACACACTGGAATTTCAGGTTATTATTTGAAGGTTTGGCATCTTGTTCCATGTCTTATGCTCTTCCTCCCCCTTCCCCCTCGCTGTGTTTGAATAATTAAACCTACAAGTCTTCTAACTTCGCTCTTTCTACTATTTATAAGTCCTTCACATAATTTTCTGTAAGTGATGCAAATTACTCTCTCTGTATCAAAACTTATTAAAATGCAAAGCAGTTAATAGAAAATTCTTTAGTTGTGAAATTTGATCTTCAATTTCAAAGTTTCCCCCGGCATTAAAATTCTCAATATATGAAGTTAAGATCAGTATTATGTTTATTTATTCATTTCAATTTCTAACTTTTTTTCTTTTGATCACTCTCTAAATTATAGTTTCACATAATTGAAGATCAGAATTATAAAGGGCGGGACAAAGCCATTGTTTTTCCTGCACATACAACTATTGCTTTTAGTGTATTTGAACTCTACATTCATTTGGATGGTAATTTCGGTAAGTGATGTAAATTACTGTCATTACTGCTATTATTTATAATGATACACATTTTTAAAACTGTTTTATTGCTCTTGATACACATAAGCTCTTGATATACATAAGCCCTGTTCCCATTCAATGGGATGCTTTAATTTTATGCACGTAAGTATTCTGACATTCTGACAGAAACAGTGCTTGAAAAGATGAACAAGGCAGGAGCTAGAAAATAGTCTGCTGTGGGAACATTTTTTAAAAGTTAGCTTGACTTTGTATTTTTTAAATTCTGCGGTTGCATGGAACTCAGTTATATTTCTAGCTGGCAAGGAACAGGTTTCATAGACAATTTGCATAAAACAGGCAAGTACAAAGATAAAAGTAAAGACAAAAGTGTACAGAACTTCTAAACTAGTAACATTTCTTTTTCTGTTGGGGATTTAATTTCAGACTGATACATCATTTGCATATATAAAAATCTAAAGCTATTTAGAAGGAAATAATTGCAGTAATTGGAAACAAAATAATTTTCATAGCTTAAATTTTACCTTAAAGTTTTTCTTTCAAGTTATGGATAGAAACATAGATACTTCTTTTTATTTAAAAATAAGTTTTAATAGTTGATTCAATATTGGAAATGTTGAGTACAGAACTCACAGACTTGCTTACCATGTTTCATTTCTCAGGGCTTCCATTGGTATGATACTGACTTTCCTGACCCCTTAACATGACCATAATTTGTGTATACACCAAAACAGGCCCTGAGGGTGTTAGTTGAAAGCTGACAGTTAAAAATTCCCATTGAATCTGTGTTACTTGAATCTGTGGGCTATTACTGCATGCAGACTTGTATTAAAAAGTTGTACTAGCCATTAAAAACATTAGCAAAGCTAAATTTAATCACTGTTAACTTTCTTGATTAGAAAGCATATTAAATTGTGCAATTATGGCTTTTATATTTAGTCCTTTTAAAAACTTTTCATTTTTACAGAACTCTGTGTGACTCCAATTGCAAAAGGAGGATTTGAAAGAGAGAAATCTGGATCATCTTCACTGACCAAATTAAGGAGATTAAAGAATAATTTGTTTCATCGAAGTATGTCTATTGATATTTATATACAAATATCTTAAAGTGTACCTTTGTTTCTTTAATTTCTGTGCAAGATGAATGTTTAAAGAAAAATTTTGATGCAGAATGTATCTCTCAATTTCTAGTATTGAAATGATTATAGAGTTATTAAAATTTACATTTGAGAACCTGTCTCTCAGAAATAACAGATCTGTTCATTAAACTCGGAATCTCTTAAAACTCATGGCTGTTGATAAACTGGTATTGAGGTTATAGCTATAGTTACACTGCTAACTTAACACTGAATCTATTTCATGTGTTTGCCATTTACAGCTTGTATTATACAAGTTATAATTACAGTAATATTTGAGGGCAAAAGCTGTAAGTTTGAATACCAAACTTACTGAATTACTAAATATTAGCTGCAATAATTGAATGTACTCCTTAGGCAGTATGTTCCCGTGGCAGGGCACGGCCAGGGTACCATCATAGTCCTTTTATTCTAACACAAACATAGCATCCAACAAAAATGTGGATCCCTGTATGAAGCTTTGGAACAAGATCTTAAACTTGTAACACTCCTTGGTCCAAGTACTTTGGAAATCTGCAGATCTGAGTGTGAAGATAAATGCTGAGCAGTAAATGTGTCCTAAAGGTTGCTCTGTTTAGGTGTCCTTTCTCCATTCCATTCTCAATCAAAGGATCAATGGAGCAAGCTTTCAGTGCTGCTCCAGTCCACACTAGAGGAATAAATCTTCAGTGGGTATGATACATCTCAGGAGCTGTAGCTGCCTAAAAGTTCTTCACTCAATCTAGTCAGTCCCTGAAGAGAAAGGGAAAGGTAGGTAGTTCCTACCTGGCACATCTGGATGCTCAGAAATCTGCTAGGAGGTTAACAAGGAATCCTCTGAGTTTTCTAAACATATTAAGCATTAGTGGGATTTATTTTTTTTTTGTAAATAATAGGAAATAAAACTGAATTTACAATGTTTAGAACATAAAAGTAGAAATGCAAAAATAGAAATAGGGAAGTACACAGCTGTGGTTTGACTTTGCACCAATTTATCAGAAGCCTGCCTCCTGCCTTCCTTTAGGTATATTTCAGAAATCATAATTACATAGGTCATATACAAAAAAATCCGGCTTTTGTCAGTATCTTAGGTGAAGCTGAAGAAAAATTTTCATCACATAGGGTTTTTGATGGGAAGCAACCTATATGGCATGCTTAGAACAGTTTTGTGAACAAGTTGTTATTTCTATAATTAAACTGACATTTTTAAACAACAGATCATAATGTAATAATAAATCACCGGTTCTTTTTCTTTTGTGTTCTTTTTCAGACAAAGGAGTAGTGGAAATTGTTGCTAACTCTGATCCTTACTTGGAGGACCTTTTTGCAGATTATTATGAAAAAGCTGCAAGCATGACTGATCTCTCTACAAGCTATCTCAGAGACGGTTCTCATATCCGAATTAATTTACTCAATAACAACATCCCCAAAGGCCCCTGTGTCCTTTGTGGAATGGGAAGTTCTAAAAGGGAGACGGTCTATGGATGCCTGGAATGTTCTTTTAATGGACACAAGTACGTACGACTGCATGCCGTGCCCTGTTTTGACCTCTGGCATAAGAGAATAAAGTAACTGATCTGGGTAAGTGCCTGTTGTCACAGACATGGGCATAACTGTGCCACAACCTTTTCAGAGTTTGTAAATATGTCTCCAATTGTGAAATGCAAAAGAGTGGAAGGGCAAAATGTTTCATTATGCTGTTATCTTCCAATTCTTTGCTTCACAGTCAATGACCTCTACTTTTAAATGCACATGAATTCCCTGACATTGCTGTTTTTCCCAGAACCTTCTCACTATTATCATGATAATGAAAAACGTACTTGTAAATAGTATTTTCATAATGTCAAAACATATGCTAGAACTTAATGTTGTTTACACAAACTTGTTGTTAAACCCCCAAAATGTTGTCTTTCTCTACACTGGCGTATGATGGTTAAATGAGAATATTTGTTAATAATTTAGTGTTCTCATTAATGTTTAATTGAAGTATCAGATTAAAAAACATGCTAAGACTTAGCTCAGTCTGATGTTTCAGTTACAAAATGGAGCAACTGGAACTATGGATGGGAGTTTCATAATCGGGTGCTGTTGCCATATATCAAGTTATAAATATATTTATATATATATCATATAAACAAGTTTGTTTAGATAAATAAAAAGTACCAGCCAGTCCCCCTGCTGCAGTTGGATTTTATGTCACAGCTGCCCTTAACTTTCTTTTATGTGCTCAGAAAAAAAACCTGCTTTGCAGAAAATGGTTCGGGAGCTTATGAAAATAATGGAACTGCTTATTCCAACAAGACTTAGGTCTTTAACAGGTGCATCCCAGCCTCAGGAAATTGAGTCTTTTGAAGACTGGAACACCAGAGAGTTGTGTCCAGGGCTGGGGCAGGGCGCTGTTAAACCTCTCACCACAGTTTTATCCTGGCAGAACAAAAGCCTTTTTACACCTTTTAAAATTATTTTAAGGATAACCCAGCTATGGAAGCTTCTTTCACTTGTGCTGCCACTTTCACTGTGTTCATCTGATTATCAGATGTTGAAATGAATACAGACATTGCTTTTCATGTGAGAAGAGTGAAGTTTTTTATACAAGTGTTATGATGTGCTCTGCACAAGCAGAACAGTTAACAGATGTAAGTACTGTCTACTAACTATTGCTACTTCTTGGTATTTTTCCAGTGAGGAAAACCAGAATGACTCCCAAGTAATTAAGTAATTGTAGTATCTGTAAGTATCTGTAGTAGCTCCCATCATCTTCCACCTCATTCAGTTAAAGGATGATAGTGTAGATTTTTAACTTGGTGCTGCTGAATAAACTGGCTAATTTGATAATTTCACTAAGTCAAAGTTTAAAAACTGACTGAAAATACTGCTTTTTCTTCAATACCAAATTCTTTTTGTTAATATTACATCAAAGAGGTTATTTTAAATGGCTTTAAAAACATATTTGTTTTTATCTTAACATTCCATAGACTAAAGTTTGCCTATTTTAAGGCCTTTTCTAGTTAAGTGCTGCAAATGGCCTTTCCTCAAGAAGATAGGCTAGAAGCCTGCAGGGGTCTAAGAGTTGTATTCCTGGGATTCTGTTTTCCATTTTTATTTTACAGGGGATTGAGAAGTGTTCATCAGTTACACTCCAGCTATGTCAAAGGATAATTAAGCTTTGTGTGCTCAATAGAACAGAAATAATTATTTTCATCAGTATCTCACCAAACGGGACTACTGTGCAATACTGTAGATTGGAACATGTAGGAACCACAGATAGTAGATCATGGTGTACTTCAATTTTATTTCTTTCTTTTGAAAGATCTGACACATTTTCTTAGTTGAATGTTAAAAATAAGATTTTTACAGTCACCTTAAAAGATATAAAAAGATTCCACTATAAAAAAAATACAAAAATTCCATGAAAAAGTATTATTATTAAGAATTCAGTGTCCAGAAAACAGCCAAATATTTTTTTTAAGTACTTAGAGTTCGTCGTGCTGGTAGACATTGTACTCCTTTGCTGATATGAAGCCATCTCCATCATGGTCATTCTTCTTAAATATATCAGCTAAGATTTCATCATGGGCAGAGGGATGACGTTTTTTGCCATCTCTTGCAAATTCTTCTTTCAAATACTGGCTTATCTAGAAGAAAAGAAGTCAAATCTTTGTGACTTTTATGCCTGTATTCAATCTAGCTATCTTCAAGGACACTGGGGGTATAATATAATAGTAATATATAATAATATAAGTATATATATTTATATATATACACAAATATATACAGTTTGTCTACAGGAAATGTGAGACTTATTAACCTATTAAAGCAAATTTCAGCAAACTACAGCACAGTGTAGTTTGTGTAAGCACACAGAAACCTTACATAATCAGTTGTCATGTAAAGACAACACTGATGCAGCCACACCTATAGTTTTATAAATTACTTGTTTCTAATTATTTGCATCATATTACCTCAAGTTCAGAGAGTTTCTTGTCACCATCCTTGTCTATTTGATTAAATGCTTCAACACTACGAGGTCCCTTATTTACAGCATAAAGTTCAATCTCAAAGACCAATGTTGCATTGGGTGGAATCTTGCCCTGTGCTACGAATAGAAGAAAAAAAAAAGCATTTAAGGAATCAGACACTATGGGCAGAGATCACATGTATGATAAGTTCACATGTAAAGCATATTTTTAATTAAAAAAGGCAGTGTTAATGTTCGGATTAAACTCTGAATTTAAATGTACATCTAGACAGGAAGATTGATTGTGTTAGATAAATTATTTTGGAGGAAACTTGCTGATCATGTACCTGCCTGAAACAAAAGTGTATTGCATACCAATTCAGGTACTTTCAGAGATTAGGTGAACGGTTATCATGAAAAACAAGTGCTTCTAAAGTTCTCACTCTTTCACATCCTGTCACATGACAGGGCTTATTTAGAGACTGCTTCTAAGATGTAAGTCTTTATTAAACAGCCACAAGCTGATTTAAAATGTAACAGTAGTATATCAGTGCTCCTATGCATTTTCTGTCTGAAGAAATAAGCAGACAATATCATGTTTTACCTACTTTGTATGAATTATACCTATGGTAAAAGGTATTTTACGTATGCTGTAAAACAGTGTTTAAAATGTACATCTCAAAAAGCACCAACAGAATGTAAGTCATCTGACTTGCAAAAATACCCCACAGAAACATCAAACTACTGGAATACTTTGGCTCCTAAATTAAGAGAACAACCGTTAGAATTCTTTGTTCCTAGATCAAAGTATTTTCTGCCACCTGATGTAAAACCAGCACTGCCTACAAACACAGGTCCATGTATCATGTATCTGGCAAAAAAAGGGAACTGAGAAGAGACAGCAACAAACCAATGCAGTCTAAAACTAGTGCCAAAAGAGCATAAAGAAATCATGCAATGTAAAATTAAAATGTAAACATGCAAGCTGCCAAAGCCAGTGAGCATGATGTAACCTCAGAATTTTGAGCTTGTGTCCATCCTCCATAAACTGAAGAATCTATACTGTTTGTAAACAGAAGATAAACAAAACTATTACACTACTCATCTAAAACAGACATAGTAAAAATTACAGGTTTCAGAGTTCAAAAGGCTTTAACCTTCCACGCTTTAGGAAAGTAGAAGTTTTAAATACATCTGAATATAAATCATGATTTAAATACCACTTACAAAAGAAAGATAACAGTACTAGAATTCAGTGCCAGTAGTTTACAATTATACATACCAACAAAGGAAAGACATGTAAAGATTTAGAAAGCCACATGCACTTTTCTAGTTCAAGATTAGGTAGGCATCTTCCCCAGCATGCAGGAATACGATGAGACAGAAGACAGGTGTGCTGTAGGGAAATATTACTTCCTTCAAGTGCTACCTGGAACAAATAGTTAATACTAGTATTAAAGAACATTTTTTATTTGAATCGGTGTATTTCCTTTTTGTATGAAATTGTACTGAAGACAAAACTGATGCATTGAATCCTGAGATATCATACCAAAGTATTATTACAGAGCAAGAGTTGCCTTTTCACAGAAACTACTTACATCCATGTCAGAACTGAATTCATCTACATTTAAGTGCTGAAACACTGCATAAGACTTGTACTGGAACTTATAAAAAGTAATCTGCACACTGAGTTATCTTATATTCAAATCAGGTTTAATGAATTGCAATGTTACAATTTCTGTGTAATGTGATAATGAGAGCCATTAACTATTCAGAACATAAGCGGTATTTTAAGCAAATTATTTCTACTTAGATTAATTGCACTGAATTATATTCCATTTTACTCAGAAGATGCAGATTGTCATTAAAAGGCTAAACAGGTAGCAGTCAAATAATAAAAACCAAATGTGACTGGAATATAATAGATTAACACAATAATGCTGATGTGTCTCCAGGAGATCTTCCTTTTGCTGCCCATGTTTCACACTGTGGCAGTACTTGGGAAAACGCACTGGGTGGCATGCACTGAGTTCCAAACCGCAAGGCCTGGGTGTGGGTCTGTGCTCAGGACTACTGAACCCGTGTAGCAATGAGCAGGACTGGGGCTGCACAGCTGCACTGCCTCCAAATGGGAGCACAGGTTCTTACAGACATCTACAATACTGTATGTTTGAAAGGGTAAAAACACAGGAAAGACAAAGTTTAGCATTAAAACTTCTTTTTTACCGTATCCTTGTTGTCCGTATGCTAATGATGGAGGAATTGTCACTTTCCGTTTTTCTCCAGGACACATATTCATCATAGCAATATCTAAGCCTTTTATGACTTGTCCAACACCCAGAACAAACCATTTTGGATGGCCTTCATTTTGTGTCCGACTATTAAAAAAAATTCAGTATGAGTAACAGTAATATAGTATTTTTTTACATACATATAACTTTTAGTTACAGTCAGTAAGAATATGGATTATTAACACACGAGAATGTTTAGAGTGCAAGAATACAAAGTATAAACACTTTTCCTGCTACATTTATAATTTAAGGTCAAATCTTGAGATAAATATAAGTGGAAACCTCCTTTTTAATTAAAAAAAAAAATAAAACCCTTGCTTTTGAACTTCTTACAAAAACATCCAATCTTCCTGATCATGTACACTGCATGCCAGAAACAAGGTGCCACTGCAGAAAGTTTCCAAGAAGAGGAATGTGGGGAGCACTAGAAAGTGAAAATGTCTTTAGCAGTTCACAACACAGTAGGATGGGATGGGACTGAGAGTGCAGGCGTGTGCTGGGGAAACCTGGCAATGTCAGCTACAGTACTGTGTGCTCACCTGCCAAGGGCCAGGTTAGATAGCCAGTGCTTGAGACAGCTTCTGGTCGTATGAGACATCCCCAGAATGTGCACTGCAGAAAACAGCAACTGAGCAAAACACCCAGAGAGCACTGGGTACGCTCTGTGTGCCAGTCAGTCACTTCAACAGGCAAAGAAATGCAAGTGAAATGGTACTGTTAAATGTAGAATTAGCCTATACTGATTTTTTTCTTGAATTATACAAGTGGGGGAATGGATTAGGATTTTTGTAATGAGCAAAGCTATTGCCTGAGAATAGATGGATGAGGCAAAGTGAAAAAGCAAAAGCCTACATGATAACTTTGCGGTAAAATGGATGGCTCAAAGAATCAAGAAGGGAAACAGCAAAAGGGACGAGGCAAAAAAGCTGCAAACCACTACTGTAATAATGTGGCTGGCACTGCACAGTGCCAACTATGTGGGAGTGCATGCTATATAAAAGTTTCTGCCTAAAATTGTCAGTGTACATTCCTACCAGGAGCTCCTCCTACCAAGCCGAGTTTTTCTGCGCGTATTACAGCACAGCAAATATCAACATGATGGGGGCTTTTTTCTACCCTGCCAACGAGGGTCTCCATGTCAGGTGTGGGCTACAGGCTCTCCAAGTTTTTCCGTGTCGGGCTCCTTCACTGGCGACGGCAGCCAGCCTCGAGCAAAGCCGCCTTTGATTTCCATCTTTTGCCTCTGCGCTTCCTCTTGACCCTAGGGAAACTGCACCCTCCACCATTCGCTTAAGGAAAGGGGAAGGCTGAGGCGGGGAGGAATTACTGCTGCTGGTGTGGTGAGTGCGGGCCCGAGCTGCGCCGCCGCCGGGAGC